GGGGCGTGTGGCATGCACAGCTGGCGCTTGCCCACACATCTGCAGAAGCATCTTCCCAGGGGATGCGTGTTAACGAAAGCTTCGGTGGCAGCGCAGGGAGGAAAGGGCAACGTCTGGCCCTGTGACCGCAGGGGTAGGTGCCAGGGGCACAGCAGAGACGGACACACAGCTCCGTTTGTGCCGGGGCCAGTGCTGTCGACTCTGGTCTCCCCTCAACAGAAATTGCAGCTATTTGTTTGAAGAAAAAAACCCTTCAGCAGCTGGGTAATTAAATAACCAAATCAATCCCTGCCAAGCACCCCGAGGCATTGGCCCTGAGGCATGGAGGTGGTAGTGTGAGATAATGAACAGCACTTAAAGATTTGGAAGGGTCTTCTGAACTGGAAGGGATGAAGAAGCCAGCAGGACCTGCTGGGTCCTCTGACATATTGCCTCCCATTTGCCAAAGGGCAAGTTGCCATGGGTCCTTTGGGCGTTGCCCCTGCAGAGACAGGGACCTGGGCTGCACTGAGGCCAGCCCAAATAACCCTGGAGCAGTGGGACAAAACCCCAGGTTGTCCCAGTGCGGGTGCAGCCGTTTCCCTTGGCTCCTGCTCACGCCCTCCATCCCTGGCTGCAGATTGCTGGAAAATCAGCCAGCAAGTCCTTTCCGTGCCTCTGGCTGCTGTCTGAGCAGGCAGCTGTGGGCTGTTGCATGCGTGTTTTGTTGCTTTTTATTTGGCTTTGGAAAATTCTGGTTTTTATCAACTGGTGCGGAGGATGGAGGCGAATGCGGAGTCTCCGGCGTTGGCAGAGGCGGCCGGCGGAGGGGAGGCAGAGCACGGTGCTGGCTGTCTCTTTAAGGTGGAGAAGGGAACTCTCTGGCTTCCACTTTGTGGAGTTTCGACCAGATCCCTGTTTTCATTAGCATTTCATTTCATCTCCTCCTCTCCCCCCCCAGCCCCACCTCCTCCGAATCGGCATTTCTGCATCTTTTTCTGAGCATCACAGAGCAGCAGGTAAAAGTCCGGCTGGCACCTGCACACACACACACACACACACACACTCACACACGCTCACATCCGCATCCCTGCATGCTGGACGCACCTCTGCCAGGCAAGAGACGCCTTCCCACACTCCTGCGTGTTGCATCTTCCTCCTCACGGGTGAGCTTGGCTGGGAGCATCCCCGTACTCGCCTCAGGGCTGCTCTGCCTCTCCTCGCCGTCTCTAGCTGCAGCAGCGGCAGAGCTCGGGCACGGAGGAGCTCAGTGGGGACCCGCTACCCCAAGGGACAGAGCTCTGCAGGTAGCCAAGCCTGGCTGGGGGGCAAGAGCTGAGCGTCGGGGGTCCAGAGCATTCCCAGCATCCAGAGCATCCTGGGATCCAGCGCATCCCAGCATCTAGAGCATCCTGGGGTCCAGATTATTCCCTGGTCCAGCACACTCAGAGCATCAGAGCATCCAGAGCATCCCTGGCATCTCAAGCATCCCGGTATCCAGAGCATCCCAAGCTTCCCTGGTGTCCAGAGCATCCCCAGCATCCAGATGCAGTGTCCAGGGACATCCCAGCGCAGGAGGATTTGCAAGGAAAAGGAAATGCCTGGCTGTGAGTAACAGGGAGGGGAACATTACTACTGCTGGTCGGCTCCTGGGAATGCCACTCTGCCCTGACTGCCAGTGAAGAGAGGGAGGGGGGAGAGAGGGAGAGGAGGAGGAGAGGAGGAAGGAGAACGGGCGCAGAGCGGGGAGAAAGACAGTACGTCTTCCCCTGGAGCTGGCTCCAGTGATGATCACCTAGTGCAGGTCACGGCTGGATGAGGTCCCGCCAGCTCCTCATGGAGGGCGACTTGGGGGCCCCCAACGCCAGCGTGCTGGGGGAGCGCTCGCTGCTGGTGGGGAGCAGCTGGGTGGCCGCTTTCCTCTGCTTCATCATCCTGCTGACCACGGCAGGGAACTTCCTCCTCATCCTCCTCATCGTCACCCAGCGCTCCCTCCGCAACACCTCCAACTACTTCCTGGTGTCCCTCTTCATGTCCGACCTGATGGTGGGGCTGGTGGTCATGCCGCCAGCCATGCTCAACCAGCTCTACGGCCGCTGGGTGCTGCGGGGTGACTTCTGCTCCCTCTGGTACTCCTTCGACGTCATGTGCTGCAGCGCCTCCATCCTCAACCTCTGCGTCATCAGCTTGGACCGCTACCTGCTCATCATCTCCCCCCTCAAGTACAAGCTGCGCATGACCTCCTGCAGAGCCCTCTGGCTCATCCTGGCCACCTGGACCTTGGCTGCGCTGGCCTCCTTCCTGCCCATCAAGATGGGTTGGCACGAGCTGGACTTCGAGGTCCGGTCCCCAAATGTCACCTCCCGGGGGGACGAGGACCAGTGCCGGCTGCTGGTCAGCTTGCCCTACGCCTTGGTGGCCTCCTGCCTGACCTTCTTCCTCCCATCCGCTGCCATCTCCTTCACCTACTGCCGCATCCTCCTGGCAGCCCGCAAGCAAGCAGTGCAGGTGGCTTCCCTTGCCTCCAATGTGGCCACCGCCGCCAGCGACGAGACCATGCTGCAGGTAAGGTGGCCACAGCGACGTCCCTCCTTGTAGACCCCCGGAATTTGGGTGCCTGGGGCGTTTCTGCTTTCCGGATGGCCTTGGGGCCGGAGCCGGCAAAGGGCTTTTGGCAACCAGACTGCAGGGAGGGAGATTTTGGGCAACATCCACCTCCCTCATGTCCTCCGAGGTGCCCCGTGTCTTGCCCCAGCAACAGCGGACTTTTAAGCTGCTCAGGAGCACAGAAACAGCATGAGCAGAAGCAGAGAAATAAATTAAGATACAGGCAAAAATGCTCAGCGGTGCAAAATAAATGCAGTTTCGCCCCCCTCTTGGCTGGCGTCATCCCAGAGGGATTTTAATCTTATCTGGCTTTCCACTCGTAAATCTTGGCCGTGGTGGGCGTGAGACATATGGGGGAGAAGGAGTTTAAATAATAGCAAATACCAAATTCCGGAGAGCACCTTATTTTGAACAGCCAGCTTCTATTTTTGTTACCTGGCCCATAATGGGAACCGCAAAATACCTCCCTACTCGATTGCTGGTTAAACCACTGTGTGGTTTTTATAACCAAAACGTGGCTGCACTTGTTTGTATTTCTCCGGGAGAAGGTAATTGCCACTAAACCGAACAGCTTTAATTCCCCGTAATAGGCTTTATTGACCTCGTATCCTACAGGGAAAAGACAAACTTAATTGCCTTTAAATACCTTGATTTAGTTTGTTCTCTCTCTCTTAAGAAAGGAGCCAGGACCCTCTGACTCTCCACCCCCGCTATGTCAGCAGAGGCCAGCGTCCCAGCAGATTCCTACGAGCCCCGAATCGGCTCCGGGTGAGCTGAAAACGAGGTGTCAGCCAGGGAACCCTCGAATTTCATCTTTTTAACTGGATTTTTGTTCTTTTTTTGGGCAGGAAGCTGAGTGGTAACGGGGCATCATTTAATTACAGCAGAAGGCTGAGATAATATCTTAATTTTAGATTGCAAGAGCGGATAGAGGACTGAGTTAGTTATGATGTTTGCAGGCTGAAATGTTTGACGTCCTCCTTTCAAAAATGTAATTAATTTGCTGCTCTAATCAGCAGCTAGAGCTGTCTCTTTAGGGCATGCTTTATCCTCACCAAAACATTAACTGAGTTGGATTTTTCTAGAGAAGAAGTGTCTTAATGGTAAAGCTCCTATTTTACAGTTGAAAAAAAAAAAAAATCCTTTCAATGTTGAGGGTTTTTATTGCTTCCTCTTCCTGATTTATGGTTCAGGGACTCCGGTGTGTGCCATCCTCCTGCCCCTTGCAAGAAGGGAAATAACGGCAGGGTTTTCTGCAGGATTTGCATCACCAAACATCACTTTTCTTGGGCGGGAGGCTGGCACTGGTGTCGACGGCTCCGGCCGGGGGAGAAGTGTTCGCTCACCGCCCCGTCTCCCACTGCAGGTTCCCCGCGCCCTGGGCCAGCCCGCGGCCGGCAGCGAGAACAGGAGATTCACCAACAAGCACAGCAAGAAGGCGCTGAAGGCCAGCCTGACGCTGGGCATCCTCCTGGGCATGTTCTTCGTGGCTTGGCTCCCCTTCTTCGTCACCAACGTGACGCAGGTAAGGACATATGGGCTTTTTTACATCGGGTTTTCAAAAGCTTTTCACTTTGCATCCAGCTGGGTTGGAGCTCAGATGCCTGCAGGTCTTGCTGGAAAGTCTCTGGGACCAAAGATGCAATTTCCCCAGGGACGCACGGCAAGGAGAATCCTTTCAAAAGGGTTTTGGAGGGTTTCTTCGGAAGGAAAATGTTGGCATGCCTGGGAAGCCGCGCTGGATCGGGGCCGAGGTGGGAGACGCTGCTAACCTTGCTGTGTTCGCCCACCAGGCAGTCTGCGGCTGTGTCCCAGCTGGCTTCTTCGACGTGCTCACCTGGCTGGGGTACTGCAACAGCACCATGAACCCCATCATCTACCCGCTCT